TTCCTTCTGAGGAGTGGCTGGTGGGTAGCAGTCAAGTGCCTTACGCACTATGCCACCAGAGCTCCATATATATATGTATTATATATGTATTATTTATTTACATAGATATATAGGGAGCTCTGGTGGCATAGTGCCTAAGGCACTTGACTGCTACCCACCAGCCACTCCTCAGAAGGAAGGTTGGGCAATCTATTTCCATAGTGATACCGCCTCGGAAACCCAAGGTCACTATGAGTCAAACTTACCAACGGCAGTGAATTTGGTTATTTGGTATATATACGTACATACATAGATATAGATATACACACACACGTTAATTAATGGCACTTATGAAAGGACAAGTGTTGAGGAGCTGTTAGAACTCTGAGCATGGTAGAAAGTAATCAGAGTCAAATCACTGTCATCCCCAACACCACCACCACCACCACCACCACAGGCTTTCTGTTTTAGAACCATAAAGAAACTATTCTGTACAGGAAGAAGGAAAGTCACTGTCTTCAAAGGAGACAAATTAGACTCAGCTTAATGTTATCTACCCAAGGTACAGAAGCCTGTCCGGACTCCACGCCTCCCCTACTGTGCCATGCACATGGCCCACACTCATTCTCCACTTGACCTTGGAACAGGAATACACAAGTACAACTAGGTGCTGTATACTAGACCTAAAGCGAATACTACTTTCAAGCTCAAAACTAAAACCACTATATATGACTTGCCATTTAAAATTTCTATTTCTGCCCCAAATGCTTGGGATCTCAGAGTTGTCAAGGAATCCTGGTTACTTCAAAAGACAGCCTTCAGTGAAACTGCCTATAGCTGAGCCTGGGAGAAACAAAGAGATGCTATAAAGCAGGTTCCATGACACCAGGAAGGGAGGGAAGAGAGCCACAGGAAGTCAAGGAGGCTGAGATGCAAGACATTTCTCCCACTGCTCAGCAACAGAAGTCTAAGGAGCTGCTCCTCTTCAGGCCTAGTTTTGGGTTCCCCAAAATAAGAAAAAGACATGAGGAAATATGGTAAGAAACAGAACTAGGGTTGGTTAAGTTTCCAAAGTTTCTTCAATCCCAGTCTCACTGCTCTACCAGTAAGCATCACCAGCAAAGGAAGCAAAACCCCCCCTTCTACCCTTACTCATCAGGAGAGCTTCTGGGCTGAGATCATCCATACCTGGCCATCTGCTTGTAGGCTTCTTCTGCCACAGCAAAGATGTGGGGGTCCATGTCGCCCATGTTTTGGCCACTGTAAGCATAGATGACATCTTGTCCATAGATTGGCAACTGTTCATATGGATTAATGGCAACAAGCACAATACCTGCAAACACAGAAGGCAGTCAGATTCTGGCAGTCCAATGGCCAGCTCCCATCAGTGTTCAACACCCTCATTCACACCCATTAGAACTAAAGAATTAGAGGGGAACAGAGTGATTCTTAACCAACCACTCACCTAAATCAAGAAGTATCTGTGTGCTCACCAGACACTGTGATGGGCCCTAGTGAAGAATGGGTAAGACACAGGCTGGACCATCTAACACCCTATAGTCTGCAATAAGAATGTGCACACACACACACACACACACAAAATGCTCAACAAAATGAGTCCATTATATATTTTAAAAAAAAAAAAAAAAAACCTCACCGCCATCAAGTCAATTCCAACTCTTGGTGACCTGCTTTGGTTTTCTGAGGCAGTAAATCTTTACAGAGTCTTTACAGTCTTCCTTCCATGGAGTGGCTGGTGGGTTTGAACCACCAACCTTCTAGTTAGCAGTCAAATGCCTTAGGCACTACGCCACCAGAGCTCCTTGGTCCATTATATAGATATGCATAAAGTATTGCAGGCACACACAAAAAAGGCCAATTGCCGTTAAAGAAACTTAACTTCTATCAGAATTACGACCTGACAAGAGGAATATTAATGTTGTCATTTGTGTCTGGGTGATTTTTAACTGAAATACAAACAACTTGTGGGTAGGGAATACAGAGTCCATAGTCTAAGGTCAAATCTTGGTTCAAACAACTACTAACTGTGTGACTTTGACAGATTACTTAATCTCTTAGTGCCTCAGTTGCCTCAACTTGAAAATGGGGATAATAATTGCATTTTTCTGCATTGTTCTGAGGATAAAATGATCCGTGCAAGAGAGGGCACTCAGATTAGTGCCTTACACAATAAGCACTGTGTGTCTGCTTTTTAAAATACATTATATTATACAATATCATACCACATTATATATTACTATTATTTGTTTTTCTATATCTTGTGTCCTCAAGAGGATACCATGCAATGATGGGCTCAATAAATATGTTGATTGAGGAATCCAAAATTCTCAAAGGGTTTCAGGCTGTGTGTGCGCGCATGCTCATATTTAAGAATATAAAAAGGAAAAAAAAAATACAAATTAAATCTTCAAGACAAGATAGAATTCATGTCTTTTCTCACATAGGGCTGTATTCTGAATCTCAATGGGTCAGGAAGACCCACTGGCTGAGGTACCCACTTCTAGACATTTGGGGAAAGAGAAAGTAAAACGAAAACGCTCATTGTAAAGACGGGGAATCTCCCACACTGTGTCTCCTTCTGGTGTATTAAAAAAGGAAACTTGAAGAGTAATAAACCAGTCTATTCTAAGTAGAGGGGGAAAGGCAAGGGGAGGGAAAAGACACATCCAAGACCACTCGTAGTGGAAGTTTGCCTGAAAAGACAACCTGGGCGAGAAGTAAGGCCTCAAACCCTGACAAGGGCCACAAATAAGGCTCACAGCCTGGAGAATCCCATGGAACACAGTTCTGCTCTGACACACGTGGGCCATCATGAAATCCTAATTGACTCAATGGCAACTAACAACAAAAAGTAAGGCTCCTCACTTGGAGAATCACCATGACAACACAGCCTTACATTCTACTGGTTATGAGTGAGGCCAACAAGACCCTACACCTTCCTGCAGTGTATCAACATTTGAGTTGTGATATACCCTGAGCTCACACATTTTCCTACAATGTCCTGCCCCCTTTAGAGCTGAAAGGAGTGTTTCCTTGATGATGTAAAATTTGGTGTCACTCACCATCTGTCTGTCTGTCTGTACAGTTGTGGGTAGGGGGGTTACAGTGCATTTGGATAAATACATACAGATTACCAGAGCCTCTTTGAGAGGGGATTTCTTTAAAAAATGAAGTTGATGGTCATGTAACCCTTTCTCCTAAAATGGTAGTAGTAGTAGTTGTTGTTGTGTGTGTGTGTGTATTTTCTTACTGAAGGCTCTAATAACTGAAGGCTTCTTTCAAATAAAATTCCCAACAAATGGAGTACTTTGGGAAACTCCTTCTCAAGCACTGAAATCAACACGCTGTCACAACTCCTAGAATTTGGCAGAAAGGTACATCCTAACTTAATAGCTAACCTACCAATTCCAAAAGAAAGTAGAATACAGAAGTAAAAAAAAAAAAAAAAAAACACCTAGGAACCTGAGGCATAACTTTTGATTATGAATGAGACCAGGACTCTGGTACATGACCAGGACAATGACCACAAAGAAGGTCTCTGGCCTGACCCCTAAACCAAAGCCTAAGCAGGTGTGCTCTTGAAGGAACTGTTGAAGGGTTTTTGTTTCCATCACTTGGGATGCTAATGAAGAGAAAAGAATATTTGGAATTCAAGAAATTGAGAAATTTCAAGATAAACAAGTAGGCTAGAGCATTTCAGTATTTTTCGTTTTGAGCATCTACAGTGGCTTTTGTTCATTAATTCAGCCCATATTCATTTTGCACCATGTTTGCACACAGGCAAGTGAGAGGCTCAACAAGAAAGGAAGCCTCCTGATACAGAGACACAAACAAGGAAGGTGGGGATAAAGTGGCAGCAATATGGTAGTGGTGAGAACAAGTGATGTGCTAGGACATCTTGATGCGTTTGCTACTCTCCTACCAACTGTGAGGACCAAGCCCTAAAGCATCGCTACCTGATGTGGCTCATTTCCTCCCTGGTTGAGTTGTGATTAACACCAACCATCCCACAGAGATGGGTGGCAGCCCAATTAAGAAATATTCACCAACTGCAAATCTTTCAAGGGGCTCAGCAGAGGTATTCCTAAATGAGAGTGAAATTAGGACTCTTAGCCATTGCATTTAATACGCAGATGTCTAATGATCTGTAAGCACCTTCAAACACACGCAGCCTACAGACACCCCCCACTTACCACAGTAAGTATAGATGTGATTCGACTCCAGGAAACGGACCTTTAGATTATGCAAAACTGCAGGCTCATGCAGATAGCTAAGGGCAGTCAGGTCGTTTTCTCCCACCAGAATATCTGGATTCCGCAAGAAAGGCAACTGATTGTTTTGGACATCAATTGGGTATTCCTGGATCTAAAGGAATGCAAATAACAGACACAAAAAGACACAGTTACAAACCATTTAGCCTGTCTTCAATGCCCTGTCTTGTTGGCTACATTGCTATCTTAACATGATCAGAAGTGATGAAGATAAAGAATACATTTTAAAGAAAGACAAACCAAGCCAAATACCTGTGTGTTGCTACAGGAGACTAGCCCAGGTGGGAAATGTGCTGATAACATAATCCAGTTTATCAAGGCAAAAGACCAAGCAACAGGAGAAATTCAAAAAGCACACCAAGACTTAAGCAAGTGCTCTGTTCCTTGTTGACTGGAAAAATACTTTAACTCCTTTTGCAACAGGAGCACTGTTTCCTCTCTCACCTGCCCCACTTGATGTTTCTGCCTTCCTTCACTCTATCAGCCAACACACCTACTTTTTAATTTGATTGTTTTATAAGTGATGAACTGCCCTCGAGCTGTATCACTGGTACGTACATTTCTCCACAACCCAAATGCACATATTTCCAGGCCAATACTTTTGCTTTGACTTGACATATAACAGAAGACCTATATGTGCAATCAGGGAGTATGTTGTTGTTATGTGCTGATGAGTCAGACCCCTCCTTGGGTTGCCAAGGCAGTATCACTACGGAAGTAGATTCCCCAACCTTCCTTCCAAGGAGTGGCTGGTAGGTTTGAACCGCCAGCCTTCTGGTTAGCAGTCAAGTGCCTTAGGCACTATGCTACCAGACTCAATCAGGGAGTATAACTACACAATTTCAAGTCAAATCTCAGATGCAAGGTTTTATCCTTGCACCCTTAGCACAGAACTTGGCCTAGAGAAGTGCTAAAAAATTGTTTATTGACAGGATAAATTTACAACTCTGGTTATATACATAGAAAGAAACCAAACTGAATGTCACTGAGTCAATTCTGCCCCATTCAAAACTGCCCCATAGGGTTTCCAAGACTGTAATCTTTATTGAAGTAGACTGCCACACAACTTTCTCCCACAGAGTGGTTGGTGGGTTCAAACACCAACCTTTCAGTTAATAGACAAGTACTTCACCACCAGGGCTCCACACACACACACACAAGCAATTTACAAAAAGGTAGTGGTGGTTTTTAACATTTAAGCAGGGTGCAGTTTGGCTATTGCTCACCATGTTTTTCTTAATCCAAGTGTTGTTTCTTATGATCATCACAAGAATTATCTAGGAAGCATGTAAAAAAGCAGAGTTTCCTATACCCAACTTTTAGAGATTATGTTTCAGGAACTCTGGGGTAGGCCAGGAATCCGACTTTTTTCAGTCAACTCCCCCAAGTAATTATAAGTAGCCTGTGAACCGTATTTTAAGAATCACCGTTCCATATAAACCTTCATGAAATTCTGTGAATATAGCCTCAATTTACTGGAATAGTAGTCTAATTTTTAAGAGAATATAAATATCAATGTGTTGTTTTCCCCTCACCCCCACTTCTGGAGGGACTTGCACCTGCCAGATCACAAGGTTGATCATAAAGCCAGTGACTGAAGCACTGTGGTAATGGTGCTGAAATAAGCACACAAATGAAAAATAATAGAACTGGAAACACACATACAAGGAAATTGTACATGATACATGGAAAATTGCACATAAATGGTATAAAGGAATTTTTCAATAAATACTGACAGGAAAACTAGTTAGCCATTGGGGGGGAAATATATATCTATTAAGATAGAGTCTTCTTTTTTTTCCTATCATATCAAAATAAATTTTAGATGGGAAATGTAAAAACAAAAAAGAAAAAACATGGATGAATATTTTTTTATAAGTTTTAGAAGGAAGAACTTTTAAAGGATGGTGCAAAAGTCAGAATCACTAAGAAAAATGTTCATATATCTAGCTTTAATATACCCCTAAATCCTTTACCATTGAGTTGATTCTGACTCGTAGGAATCCTACAGGACAGAGTTGAACTACCCCATAGGGTTTCCAAGGCTGTAATCGTTACAGAAGCAGATTGCTCCATTTGTCTCCTATGGCGGCTAGTGCATTTGAACCACCAACCTTTTGGTTAGCAGTCAAGTGTTTAACCACTGCGCCACGACAGCCACTTAACTATAATACAGAAACCTTAAAACTACCATAAAACACATGAAACACAAAGTCAAATATGAGGAAGGGGCAAGGATTGCATTACATGATAGAAAAATCTTAATATCCAAAGAAATGTAAGAAATCAAAAAGACTGACACCCCGACAGAAAATTATGCACAGAACACAAATCACAGAATAAGAACTACAAATAGATAACCTATGAACAGCTCTTCAACTTCAACAGTAACCAAAGAGGTGCAAATAAAAGATTATCAGCCCTAGCATTATTACCCACCAGCTAAGCACAGACTAGGAGCTATGGCAGCGTAGTGCATAAGGCAGTTGACTGCTAACCAGAAGGCTGGGGGTTCAAACCCACCAGCCACTCCTTGGAAGGAAGGTTGGGCAATCTACTTCTGTAGTGATAACTGCCTCGGAAGCACAAGGAGGGGTCGCTATGAGTCAGGTCCGATTCCATGGCACACACTAACAAGAAGCACAGATTAGGCCATCTGGGTGGCAGAAACAGTTAAGCGACTTGGCTACTAATGGAAAGGCTGGAGGTTGGAGTCTACGCAGAGGCACCTGAGAAGAAAGGTCTGCCTGGCAGTCTACTTCCGGAAGGTCACAGACATTCAAAAGCCTACACTTCTACTCTAGCACACTTGGGGTCACCATGGGTCAGAATCAACTGGAAGGTATTTATTTATTTTTTAAAGCTAAGATTTAAAGACTGACAAGATCAGAAGCAGGAAGTGTGTGGGCAGCCCGGAATGCTGCTTGTAGGTTCAGATTTGTTTAACCTGTCTGGAGGGCAGCTGACAACACATATTTAGAATTTTTCATGAATATTCTTTCTTGTCCTCAAAAGACGATCTTACAAGTGAGCACAGGTATGGAGTCACTGAAGCTATACAGAGTAAAATATAATATAGCCCTGCATGTACCGTCAAGGAGCCCTGGTGGCGTAGTGGATAAGGCACTTGGACTGCAAACCAAACCCACCAGCTGCCCCATTGAAGGAGGATGGGGCGATCTGCTCCTGTAAAGATTTACAGCCTCAGAAACTTGACGGGGGTTGCTATGAGCCAGAAACAACTCAATGGCAGTGAGTTTGGTTTTTGGTTTTGGCTATATTTAATGTCAGGCATGTCACCAAACGCGATCTATAATATGATTCCATTTACTTAAAATTGTGCATTAAAATGTCTGGAATGATGTTCCCACAAATATCTATGTTAGTGGGGTTTTCTTCTTCCACATTTTCTCATTGGCTGTTTTATATATAATGCAGGCTTTTTTCTTTCTGTGAAAAGCTCCATTCATTATAACCTATGAAAGCTGAAACCTGTGTAAGGTGGAAATCTGTCAGAGAAGGAAAACTAATGTTTTCCACTAAAATGAGTGATATAAACGTGGTAAGACTGCACCCCATCTGAGGTGGAAAACTTGAAAGACTTCGAAGAACAAGGCAACACCTTGTCCTGCTCGTTCCAACTCTCAGGAGTTTCACTGTTCTAAACCTTCCCCATACAGGAGACCAGTAAACAATTGACCACCCTGAAGAAGATGCAGGCAACAATTCCAAAGGGTGGGGAACAAGAAGAAATGGAGAGCACTGACAGATGGCTTTATTTCATTCAATTCTAGAGCTGGTAACCTCCTTTATTTGCTGCCTTGGTGGTATCACTAAACTTCACTCAGTCCTCCGTCTGGAAGTCCCCTCCAAAGGCTCCCAGGGAGTGGCCCCCTGCCTGCCTCTACACCCCATCTCCTCAGCAGCACAGGGAGCAGCCAACTGTAGCCCCACCCCACCCCCAGCTCACCTGGCTCAACCTCTCATTTCCCAGATCAGAAAGCCGGGACCTGAGCCCAGCATCTTTAAACCCTGAGGCAAAAACTCTAGCATTCCATCTTTTCTCGGACAATTTCCCCTCGCTTCTCCCCAAGCATGTGGAAGAAAACGCATATTCAATTTTGTGAAAACACAGTCCTCACATAAGCGAGTGGTATTGGTTACAATAAAATTGATAAGGACTGAAAGCGCCCAGGGCAGCAGAAACGGGGTAGGAACTGCAAGCTCAGCGTGCCTCCGATTCTTGGCATGTGTACACCCAGAGGGAAGGAGGGAGGCGGAGACTGAGGAACTCAGATCTTTTTTTTCCTCAACAGAAATGTGATTCTAACACTACTGCCAGCATTGAGCATCTACAGCTAACACGGTTTTATGTGAAATCTAAGAGTTTATGACAGTAGTCAGGAGCTGTGAACACACGGCCCGTGGAGGTAAAGAGGGGGAAATAGTGACACCCAGCACACCACATTAATGCCCAGTCACTCCTGGAGGACACCTCAGCCTCCTCCCTGAGACCAGGGTCTGGGAGCAAGGACAGATGGGGTCTCCATTGGCCCCACATAGAATATGTAACTGAAAACTCCACTGCCATCCAGTCAATTCCAACTCATAGTGACCCCACTGGGTTTCCAAGGCTGTAAATCTTTATGGAAGGAGACGGCCTCATCTTCCCCCCAGAGAGCAGCTGGTGTGTTTGAACGCTGAGCTTCTGGTTCCAGCCAAATGTCCTACCCACTACACTACCAGAGCTCCTTAGGACATGTAACTAGACAACAACTAAGACGGGAGAGGGAGGCATAGGGGAGAGGATTGGTCCATACCTGCATCCTCCAACAGGGTAGCCACTAGCCACGTGTGGCTATTTAAATTGATTAAAATGAAATACAATTAAAACCTCAGTACCTTAGTCACACTAGCTGTGCTTCAAGTGCCTGATAGCCACATGTGGCTAGTGACTACTGTATCAGACAACACAGATATAGGACATTTTAGCAGAATGTTCTGATGATAATACTGGTCTAGATAGCTCAACGCTGTGCGTCTTTGAGTCTATAATACTTAGTATGTGTTCAAAAATGTAATAGTTTAAATAAA